TTTTTTTTTTTCCTTGGAAAACGCTCGCAGTGCACGCCGATTGCCCCCTCGGAGACTAATCTGTAAATAACTTTAAGTTGAATGCTATTGCAATTATCGTGCGTAAATTATGAACTAGCCTATGCAGGATCTCAAAAATGCGAAATTGTTTGTTTTGTCGTGTTCCTCGATCGCAAATCACGAAGAGCTGGACGGACTATTTTCTGGACAATCTTACTATCCCGCTCAAAAAAAAACCAAAAAAAAAAAAAACTGTGTGGTTGTGCTAATAGACCTATAAAACATAATAAAGATTTTAAAAATATGTGTGTTAGAATTTTTTTTTTTTTGAGGGTCTCGAGCTCGGATGTTTTTCCCCCATCTGAAACGGATATTTGTGCATAGAGTTTCTTCACTTCATCAGGTTATTCTCATCATTAGAGCGCCCTCTGCTGGAAGACTTCAGACATTCGGCTGTAGCGCTCCATATAGATGTGTATAGCAGCTCTCCATCTAGTGATGGGCACAGGAAGTGCAGCAAAGCATATCAGGTCGCTCAAGGGCATTCATGATTATTTCTCTTAGTCTTAACGACAGTTCGGGGATCAGAATTAAAAGTGTCTCTCTGTGGAATAAAAGGCCAAACCTCTTACACTAAATATTATTAAAATAATAGCATTAAAATAAAGAAATCATGTGTCTTGTTGAGGAGAGTGTTGTTACTTTACCAAGTTATCAGACGATTGTTTTATTCAAATTAGCAACCACTCAGAACAGCCGGCAAATATGTGCTTAAAACCACCCAGATTTCCCTAAAAATGTTCTGAAAGTAATTTTAACAATATCATTCCTCTGTGCCATTATCACTGTATTTATGGTGTGGACTTCTCTGTTCTCATAGAATTAGACCATTATCTTTTTGGTTATCGTCCTTTTTGTGGACAGGCCTTGGCGGTGAGTTTTGCACATGTAAATACCACTCGGATTTACTTAAAAGGAAAATCTAGTTTTTAAATGACTTTTTATTCTGAATGTATCTGCACTGTTGAAAAAAAAAATAACGGTCTGCTTTTGTAACATGCAAATGAATCACGATATTAGATAGGCCTATTAAATTACTGACTTCTGAACGCAACAGAATGTTTGCTTATGTGAAGGTCTGTCATCATGTGAAATTATATTAGATGCTCTATGAAGTGCATGACCAATAAAGCAGTCAATCAAGCTTCTTTACACAACGTATTAAAACTTTTTAATAAATTCTGTACATTGCAATGAGCAAATGACACTTGATTTTATAAAACTGTCTATGTATCCCAGTGCTTCACTATTGGAATAAAACAAACACAAGCTTAATAAAAAAATGGAGTTATCTTTAAATTCAAATTTCAGTAAAAAGGCCTACAAAATCTGCTCCCATAGGCCTCATTTTGGTTAGTTTTCCAGAGTCTTGAGATGAACTGATACTCAATACTCCTCTCGTAGACTCACATGACAGCTGATGCAGACAATCATGTCTATTTCTCTGTTCTTGGCTTCTTTGTTCTGCAGGATCACGGTGAAAAACATCTCTTCGAAGTTTGCATAGATGTATGACCCGACACCTTGAGGACAAGTACGTTGCCAAAGTGCGGTGAACTTTTCAGTGCAGAAAGACTCTCCAAGGTGCATGTCT